CCATAATTTAACATCGATTTTATCACGAAACAGTAGATATGGTTCAGCGGCAGACTGCTGGCCAACCCATGCACTCGGGTTTCGAGGTTCGAGTCCCGGCTGGCGCACACCTTCACTTTTTTTAGCCGGTTATAATCCCTACAAAGAGGGAAAGTCAGGTGTAATACTGGCAACCCCACCCCACGTGAAAACCACCACTGCTACTGAAACCTCAAAGCTACAGGTTGAAGCCCTATGCTTCACTGGGAAGGCAAAAGAATTAAATAAAAGTAGAAACCTATATCACTTGAATTCAGAAATCTTCAAATCTAGTGATCGCGAAGGGACATCACCATCTTTTTGAAGTTTAATGATTTCAAGACTTAATCTAACATGTGTATACATTCTTTTTTCCTTCACGTTCCCAGTGGGACATACGGCTTCAAGCTAGAGGCTTGAAGATTTCGTAGCAGTGTTGACTTTTACAGGATGGGGTTGCTAGCCTCATGCCCAACCTTCCCTCTTTACCAGTCTCACTACTGACTTAGCGGGATAAAGGAGTGCGCCGGCTGGGGTTCGAACCCCGGACCATGTGCATGGTCGGCGAGCGTCTTAACCGCTGTGCCACCGACGCACATTGATGAAGATTAAGTGTCAAATTGGCATAAAACAATTCCCTTATACTTATTGATGTTTAACAGTTGCCACCTGTGATCCATACCCTGGAATATCTGTCAAATCCCTTAAGAAGCCTAACAAGTAGATGATTCTTGCACGATTACATATTGCAGGTAAAGCTAAGAATTAGTCACTCAGGTGAATAAACACACCAATGAAGTTCAGGCTTCCGACTAGGTTGATTTAGCTGGATAAAAGTACATTCGCAGGAGTTGGTTTCTAAGGTTTAAGAACACAATATTCAGCGAAGAGACTCTTCTAAGCAATGAATTTATTATCAAGCTGTACAATCGTATATACACATATGGTTATTTTCATAAGAAATTATATCCGATGAGGGAATTAGGTCAAAGGTGTGAATACATGAAATAATAATAATAGTAGTAGTATGAAATGCAATTAAAATTAAAATATTTGTGATTATAATCATAGTTTGACGTCAAGTAGCAAAATAATTAATATCATATATATAGAACAATACATAAGGTGTATGGATTTTGGAAAGCGATACATAATTATAAGATTAGTAGACGAATACAAAATGTTACATAACATGGTGTGAAATTTGATAACATTTTATATTTGTCTACCAATCCTATATTTAGGTACCCGTTTCCAAAATCTAAACACCTTATGTATTATTCTATATATGACATTAATTATCTTGCCACTTGACATTAAACTATGATTATAATCATAAAAATACTTTAATCGCATTTCACACTATGTTAAACAGGAGATAGTAAGACTGCAATGAGAGGTGGTTCATAATGAAATAACGAATGTTAGAAATGAAACACGTGGAGGCATATATTGAGAAAACAGATAATATAACTAATAATAAGTCCTGATAGTATAAATGAAAAATTCGATAGTATTGAGGGAATGTTTGCATGAAGGGCATAAATTATGACGAATAATAATAATGATGATCGTAATAATAAACAAAGGAGAAAAAACCAAGAGGGTTAAGGGGAAGGAACAATCTTGGTGAGAAGAAGAATCATCAATCCAAGTTTGGCCACGGTAGGAACAGCGTCTGGACGTGTTCTTTTGGATACAGAGTTCTGGTTTAATCGATCTTATTGCAACAGCTTCAGCTATGTGTAGCAGATGTAAGTGAACTAACTGTACGTGATAACGACTTCGGAATTCGGTATATAACCTCAAGAAACGGAATACTTAGTTCGGATTCCTTTTCTATGGTGAATTGTAAAGAAGGATGGCAGTTGTTGTGAAAGCAAACAAGACATCATCAAGAATTAGGTTATATAGGGCGCACGATTAAGCAGGTTGGTCTACGGGTTCGAGAACATTTACCAGCTTGGTTCAATAGGGAGGGGGGGTAATTAAGTGCATAAAAAGCTCGATCCTGTCACATTTGGTCGATACTGGACATCGTATCGATGTCATCACAGCTTTCGGGGTTATATACCGAATTCCGAAGTCGTTATCACATACAGTTAGTTCACTTACGTCTGCTACACATAGCTGAAGCTGTTGCAATAAGATCGACTAAACCGGAACTGTGTATCCAAAAGGAACACGTCCAGACGCTGTTCCTACCGTGGCCAACCTTGGATTGAAAATTTTTTTTCCCACCAAGAGTGCTCCTTCCCCTTTACCCTCTTGGTTATTTTTCCTTTTTAATTTGCTTATTATTATAAATATCATTATTACAGTTATTATTATTCGTCATAATTTATGCCCTTTATGTAAACATTCCCTCAATACTATCGAATTTTCATTTATACGGACTTATTATTACAGATATTATCTGTTTTCTCAATATATGCCTCCACCTGTTTCATTTAATATATTCGTTATCTCACTATGAACCTCTCATTCCAGTCTTACTATCTCCTGTTGAACACAGACCACTTTGTACTAGCCACTCACTCACCTGACACCTTTTATAACCTTGAACTGATTTCATACTACTATTATTATTATTTAATGTATTCACAACTTTGACCTAATTACCTCACCGGATATAATTTTTTTTAAAACCATACACATACGATTGTACAGCTTGATAATAAATTCGTTGGTGAAAAGAGTCTCATCGCTGAATATTGTGTTCTTAATGCTACAATGGGAATTAATAAATTATTGTAAGGATTAGATTTGTTTTTCGAATTTGACCACGGATTGATTGATATCAGTTAGAGAACCATTGAAAACCAGCTGGAGGGAGTACTGGACAGCTGTTTCATCGTAGTTTGAGAATCATCAACAGTACTCACCCACCCACTACTTGGGTTCGAATCCAGGACCTTCCGGCTACAAGGCAAGCTGGCTGGCTCGTATACCATTCTAACTTCTACCAATTCGTGATCTTAGCACTACCATAAACCAATATCATCGGTGGGAATTCCATCCTCACTTACGACTGAATGGATCCCAGTTTTATTATTTTTACTACATTGCATAACTGTAGAGAGAAGAATAAACCGAAACAAGCAGAAGACTTTCATCAATATGAAGGCGGTTAGTTCGAACTACAGTGTGTGCGTACTGCCGACGATTTCCAAACTAGAGCGGATGAAACAGCTAGCTGTCCAGTACTGCAGTGCTGGTTTTCAATGGTTTTCTCTAACTGATATCAATCCGTGGTCAAATTCGAGAAAGTACATTCATTCATTAAAAATACACGTTTAAAGCAATGTAAAAGGTGTTAAACACGACAGTTTTCTTTGAATTATTGCAAGAATACCCTCCACCCCAGTTCTCCATAGATGCAAAAATATTCATTCAACTGACTATCCTTTACAGTTACAATGTAGATCCTGTCTTGCTATAGTGTTAGGTTATTATTCCCTTGTCTGTCTGTCTGTTTTCGACATAGAACTTTGCACAAATGTGCGGAAGTTCAAGTCGCCACACTCCGTGTAGCACGCGAAGCAAGAGAAGAAAGTACAAGAAAAGCATAATAGAAACAGTGAGCAGAGGTGTGAGACAAAGGAGTAATAAAGAAATACAAAACAGTTTCATTGAAGATCATAAGTCACAGGGAGTGGATGCATCTGCGCTAGCCACTGAGAACGATTTTGAGCTAGCCATGTCACCAATTGTTTCCAACCATAGATTTTTACCGTCCCGAGGACCCCAGCCTGGAAGTCTACACCTTCCTACGTGGCTTAGACCAACTGTTGTGGATTTCATTGACTGATGCCAAGTTTTTGTTTGACCGCCGCTAGCTTTTTTCCAGCCTGACCCTATATCCGCTAACATTGGTCGTCGAGGGAGGCGATGGCTTGGCATACGTAACACATGTCCTAACCATCTCAGTCTTTGTAGCTTCACGATTTCGTCGATTGATTTCCCCTGTTTACCTAGAACTCTACGCCTAACCTCCATGTTGCTCACCTTATAATGCCACTTTACACGGGAAATAGAGCGCAGGCATCTATGATCAAAGACAGCTAGTCTTTTCATGTCTTCCACTCTCAGTGGCCAGGTCTCACAACCATAAAGGAGGACGGAGCGGACTGATGAGCAGTACACCCGCCCTTTGGTCGATAGTCGAACATCTCGTCTACGCCAGAGTCGGCGTAAAATAACAAATGCGAAACGAGCCCCTTGTATTCGTGCTGAGATTTCGCCAGAGATCAACCCGTTGGCACTGGCTGATGGTACTTCCCAAATAAGTGAAGCGGTCAAAGTGCTCTACCAATTCACTTCCTATTTTTAAACTAGGCGTCGATGTAGTCCAGTCCTGTAACATTATCTTGCATTTGGCGGGAGCGAATCTCATGCCAAACATTCGTAGATTGCGGCTCCCTATTCCCTTGAGATCCGAGTGGAACATACGGCTACAAAAGCCCATCTCCATTTCACATTACTCTCCGAAATCCTTTTTATTAGGCTCCATGGTTGCCCATAAACAACTCTCATTCCCACCTCACACGATCTTCTCCACACCGAACTCGTCATTTCTTATTTGTATTCCACTTGAAGGTTTGACATGTGATTTCACTCGGTGGTCTCCTCAGTGTATGTGTAATTCCTATTCATTTTCGGTTGATAGATTTTTGGATAATTCGTCCCAAGAGTTCCTCAGTGTTTGCTTGCTTCCTTATCCTTTATGACCATCTAATCTAATCTTAAGTATGGAGAGAAGCTGTTGAAAGACAAAGTTTTTCAGCAATCTGTTAGAAATGTTTTTGGTAACGCGTTATCATTAATAATGCACAGCACAAATGGTAACACCTTTGCACAAACTCTGGCGGGTTCTCAGATCATCAATCACTGGTTAACTTATCCACTTGGGGCATTTTGTTCCACTTCAACTACAATAATCACACTTTAAGATTAAATTTTGTTTTTCTGAAATAACTTACAAGAAGTTGACATTCTTCAGATTTGTTATCCGTGAATGAACACGAAGTTGAGCATTGATCAGCACAACATTTAGCAAGTAGATCTTTCCATGAACTAATTAATAAAGTGGAAAAATAAACAGAAGAGGAATAAAATTTTTTTTATCAATTTAGTAATTTAAAAAATTTATTGACAAAATGAAAGTGGATAACATCAAACATATCGATCGGTAGAACTAGGGTGTCACCAATGGCGCAGTGTGAGTGACTACCTGAAGATTGCAATATGTGGTCACATCAAGGTAGGTGGACTTGTCATAACTGTGTATTCAGAACTGATGTTAGCTGGTGATAGACAATCGGTAGGTCACCTTGCCTGACCAAGGTATCGCGCTTAATCAGCGGCCGTGTCAGTAAGACATATCTGCAACCCTGAAAGAATTGATGTCCCACCTCCTCCCTGAGAATCGAACCTGCGTTATCAGCTGTGGCGAGTCATCTGACTCAATGACTCTACATTCCCACCAACGTGACTGTGACAGAACTCAATCTGCAACAATAACAAGGACTAGAAACACGACAAATGACATTGGTTACTCCCTAGTGTGACTGGTAACTTCTCTGATTACAGCATTGCGTGATACGAATTCATTTCACAAGTGGGTAGGAAGTCAAGTCAGTCCCTTCAATGTCAAAGATTCACCCTGCCGACGAGTGACAAAATATCAAGTTAAGAAAGCAATATTTCTGTGAAACCAATCAACTCATAAACTACATAACACATTTAAGAAATACACCAGGGATCATACTTGTATCATATAACACCTAATTGCCAATTAAAGTAGTAGGTTTAAACAGGCTAGAACCCGTAAGTCAATCACTTTAAACCCCATTACACTAAAACTGCATTGACACAAAGGAAACTAGATTGGAAGAACAGTGATCGTGATCACTAACTCAGTGTTTACAGATGACAGAGATGTGTAGCTCAGATTGATGATATCACTGTGAAGTTACATTCTATCAGCGGCAGATGTTTCATTTACCAGGCTTCCCATACTTCGTCCTAAGACAATATCTTCAGAACAGACTTCAAGATGAATTTACCTTCCTTTTGTATTCTCCATGTTCCCACAGTCGGGCGTCTACGCTGCTCTTTGTGTTCCCTCAAAACTGTCATCGTTGGGCATCATCATGTAATTAATCCCAACGTCCGGTGGCGTGTTTCGTTATCTTGATGATCGTCTTTCAATAAATGATTTCATCTTCAGACTTATTCTACGAATGTTAACCCAACAACTTTCCAATTATTCACTGTTTCTGACACTGGAAGCAAATATTCAGAATGGTTGTCAATTTACGATTCGGCGCCACATGATGGACAGTTCAGTAGAATTAACATCTCCTTCAGTGAGTTTGTAAATCGGTCTCTCGAAACGTCATTAGATACACTTAACCAAGCTTTCATCCACCTAATAGGCGACATCTTCAGTGCATACTTCAATCTGAAGTGAGATTTTAGATTTCTCCACGAGTTTACTAATCATCTCCCCCGGTGACCTTGGACGTGATTGGTTGTTTTTGTGTGTTTTCACACCAAGGTTACGGGGAGAGATGATTAGTAAACTGGTGGAGAAATCTAAAATCTCACTTCAGATTGAAGTATGCGGTGAAGATGTCGCCTACTGGTAGGGCGATGAAAGCTTCGCAAATTAACCATCTAGGTAGCTCAGAGAACACAACCACATCAAAATCATCTATCCACCTGAGCTACATATCTTCTCTATAATATCTACATTTAAGCAATTCAGAAAACAGGATCACAATGTTTCCTAACGGAATATGATATAAGAAACTCAATGAAGTTAGTCTTCAACACACATGGGCAAAAAGCATCAACAGTGAACATAGTTTAGCAACTTGGTTCGCCAATCAAAGAAAGAAATTGATGAATTCACTCAAGACGCAACATATACCACCTTTCACTGATGATGTATGCCAACAGGCAAAATAGTGGAATAAGGGTAAGGGTAAGGAACATCTCTACACATCTGGGAGAAGTAATTAGTACGAAGAACTTAACGTAACAACGGAAATATCTTGAATCTTCAGCTATTATCACTATTATTTCTTCTTACCTTTCACCGATAAGACCATGATATTTGATAAAGTACAAAAGGGAGTTATCATTCAATTTGTAACTTGTCAATCCATTACCGACTGCAATTCCCTAAAACAATGGAAAGGCAAAAAAGAAAGCAAAGAGAAGCGCAAGTGTCAACGACTTCATAATGACAAAACACTGGACTGACGAATTGTATTTCCAAAGTAGAAGTACAGCATTACACGGTTTCCACACTCCATACAGAATACACAGATGGAGAAAAAGAAGAAAGTGTACAGAGATGTGTGTGTGTGGTAGAAATGACAATTACACGAAATAACATGAGGTGTTAAAGGGTCTGGAAAATTACCAAGAGTGAATAGATCTGCCCTACTGAGAACGATTTTTAGCCACATCACCAACAGTCTCCACCCAGTGATTCTCACAGTCGCAAGAATCATCGAAACCTGACAGTGTACACTCTCATATATGGCTAGAACAAACACTCAGAGATTTTATGGACTGATATCAGGTCTTCATCAACCCCCCTCTCAACTCTTTTCTCCAACTTGATCTTATGTCATGACATTGCTCGACGAAGAAAACGATGGCTTGGCATATACAGTACAAGCACTAACCATCTTCATTGACATAGCTTCACAATTCCATCGATTAACTTGCCTTCCTTACCTAACCTCAATATTGCTCACCATTCCACTTAACACGGGAGATAGAAAGTAAACATTTGTGGTCAATGATAGCTAGTCTCTCTTCAAGTCTTCCACTTTCAACAGTCACGTTTCATACCTAAAAAGGACGCAGAGAACTGATGTGTCGAATACAACGTCTATGCTAGATGATATTAATATTAACATCCTCTGAAGTAACCCAATCGATTGGTGCTATTAGGATAAGACGTTATATTGAACTTGACAGGGGCAGCTTGGTACTTAATTTTGTACACTGAGTTACACTTGATGTTTGATATCCAGCTTATGAACAGTTCCTAGTTTTCAAGACCTAATGAAGTTTGGTGTGCGGAGTTTGAATTCAATACGTAGTACATGGCAGCTAAGTTCCTTAAGCCAGTTATTATCCACATTTTTACCTCTATAATGTCACGTTTTGAAGAAGTTCTGCACAAGGGGAGAATCAATAGTCATCGTATACAATAAGAAGTCTGCATCATAGCCCATGGCACATAAAACATCTCTGCCCACCAATCGAATTCAAACAACCATATTCCACAGTGGATGAAGTAATGGTTATAAAATCCAAGTCATCAACACAATCAACACATTTCAATGTAAGGGATATGCGGCTAGAGATATCGAAAGTAGAATGAATTTCGACGGTGAATATTCTCGGACGTTTGATACTTCATCCTGTTGGTGGAAGGTCCACGATTAAACACCACAAGGTATTTCCGTTTTAGTGTGCAAGGTTAGTTAAAAGTTTTGTAATGTGGATAAGAAGAATAAAAATACAAACTTCATGAAGGATTCTGTTTGTTTTCGGCATAGAACTTTGCACCGATGTGCACCAGTTCAAGTCGCCACATTCCACTCCTTGTAGCACACAAAGTAAGAGAAGAAATTAGAAGAAATGCATAATAGAGACAGTAAACAGAGGTGTGAGACAAAGGAATAGTAATAACGAAGAACGATATAGTTTCATTTGAAACCATAAGTCACAAGGAGTGGATGCATCTGCGCCAGCTACTGAGGACGATTTTGAGCCATATCACCAACTGTTTCCAACCATTGGTTTTTGCCGTCCCGAGGACCCCAACCAGGAAGTCTACATCTTCCTACGTGGCTTAAACTAACTTGTGGATTTCACTGACTGGTGCCATGTTTTGGTTTGACCGCCGCTAGCTCTTTTCCAGCCTGAACCTATGTCACCTAACAGTGCCCGTCGAGGAAGGCGATGACTAGATCGACCAATAGCTGCATATCGCGATGACCCGACAAACTACACTGGCTGGGACCAATGTTTCTGAAGGTCCTACTATGTCAGGAAGGTTTTTAGGATAGCGATTAGACTAAAAGCAGTTACCGGAATTGTGTAAGAATCTTTCTTACACTATGCTGGGGGTCTGAGAGCGAAGTCGTACTGCTGGGGACTAAGGTGTTTCCCTCAGTTGATCAGCATGCCAGCTATGCTGTCCACTCCGGAGAGAGGGGGTTAGAAAAGGTCGAACCCAAAAATGTTACATCTCGACTTGCCCTACGGTGGTCCGTAATCGGCGGTAAGTTTACTAACACGGAACCAATCCCAGAAACCAGTTCATACAGGCCGTGTGTGACTGGCCTCAAGCAGCTGTCCCCTGGGCTCTGCGGTCACGGAACACTCTTTCTGTTTCAGGTACCCGAAGAATCAATCATGAAGGATAGGTAGTCATAAAGCTTACGTTTTACTTGATATATTTTCAGTAATTTTAAGTTATACAATCCCAAATATAATGGAGAAAAACTTCTGATTCGTCTGCCTATCTCTCTACTGATAAATGATAATTTGAAAGAAGGATGTTATTAGTGGCACTATGAAGTTGCTTCCCTCGCCCTCTCCACCGTCGACACTGAAGTTAGTGGGATGATATCCGCACTCTGAACTTCTGCGGTTGAAAGTGTAGTGCTTAGGTTGATGGATTGAAGATGTAGTTTATTCCCTTAGGAAAGACTGATGAATCAAGCGTATTACAGTATTGCAATTCGGAGTGGGTAACTTACAATCACTGAAAAATTATACGCTGAAACTCCAACTTTCTGACTACGAATCCCTCATGAAAGATACTTCTTATTCACATTACATCACGTTTAACCAATCTTGAACGAGAAAACGAATACACTTTAAAGTTTTTAATTGCAGACGGTCCACTATCAGGATGAAGTACCAAAGGTTCAAGAATGTTCACAGTCGCCACACAAGTGAGACGAAATTCATTCTACCATCGATATCTGTGGCCGCATATTTTTTACATTAAAACGTGTTGATTGTGATGACTTGGATTTTATAGCCATTGCTTTATCCACTGTGATAGATGGCTGTTTAAATTCAGTTGGCTGGGAGGGATGTGTTAGGCTTCACGGGAAACGAGCTACACTACCTATTGTGTGTGGGGATTCATGATACTTACTATCCACTTACTTCGAGAGCTGAAGTAAGTGGAGTGAGATTCGAACCTGAGGACTCACTGGCTAAAAGCCAGGCAATCAGGTCAATGGAGCACATATCCCTACTCAAATACGTCTACATAATAGTAATAGTAATGATAATAAAAATCATACAGATTAAAGACGTGTATTTCTTTTCGATTAAAAGTCGTTAGCCCAGTGCATTAATATTTCCTTATAGTGTGTCTGGATTCAACATAGAACTTGGCACCGAAGTGCGCCAGTTCGAGTTCCCACGCCTATAGTGTGTACACATCTCCAAGAATACAAGGAATTGGCTACCCATCTCTGAGGAAGGTAATTAGTTATTTCAGTCCAGAATACAGGCAGAAATAACACTCACGACAAAACTAAACTGAACCGAAGAATTTCTATAAAATTCACAAATTATACAGTCCACTGTGAAATGTTCTCCACGGTGTCTTTCGGAAACCGAAACCATGAAGATCAAAAAATATTCCATCTGTTTGATAACACAAATGCGAATCAAGAGAGCAGCACGCATAAATACATGAAGGCATGTACTATTCATTGGTGTGAAATGAGTCATTTGATAACATTCACATCCGAAGGGAACTGTGCTAAAATTCCACCGCGAACTGCACAATTTGCAGGCTGCATATTCGATCCAGTGTTAGCTACAGTTTGACTGGTATGAACTCAGCCGGCTCTCTGAAATGAGTGAAACAGGGTACACCACTGACGAGTGTGGCCCCAAATGCGTCAAGTGGCTGTCCGGTTTCCAAATCACTTTGATCTTGTTGGTTAACAAGCACTTCTGGTTGAGTGAATGAGTGACAGTTAACTACTCAATCGGTAGTATATAGCTTCATGTGAAAGGGATTTAAAAGTTAAAAGAGAGCCAAAACTTTGAAGAAATAAGAAAAACGTACCGCAAGTTTAAATCTCGGTGAATCTTTAAGTAGTAATGCCAATGTAGGCACATAAACACCACCATAACTCTCACCAGTGACATACAGTTTACGACCTTCATATTCTGGAAACTTGTCTAAGAAATGAAGTAGGGCATGATGATTATTTAACGCCGTCTATTACAAGAGGGGAAAAAAAATACAAAGTGGAAGAGAAAAAGAAAAAATGGATGTAATTTCAAATTATGAAAAATAATCCGCATGACATAAATCAAAAACTCTTTGAAGGTCATTGCCTCTGCCAGATAAGTCTTTTTCGTTGCCTTCATACTTTAGGGGTATCCCTTACGAAAGTGAAAAGGGCATATACAAACGTCTAGCACCTACAATCAGATTGGTGGAAATGCACATCAGTCTTAGGAAACTGGAAACTCCTGGTTCCAAAACTAGGGTGTAACATTGGCCCCAGAATCCGAAAGGATTGAAAGGAGTATGAACCTGTCTTGGCCGCCGGAAGTCATGTGGACGCAGCCCACCACCACCACCAGTTTTGTGGATCAGACTTCATTTGAAAGATCAGTAGGGGTGGCATCCTAATACAATCACATGCTTCGGTTTAGACACTCAGGTAGTATCTCAGGCGTCGTAAAAATAATGAGTCCATTTTGTGTGGTACATCTCTTGGTTCCCACAATGTACCAAGGGAACTCGACCACATGCACGTACAGATATGTACTGCAGCAGTCACCGTGGTGACGCAATACTTCCAGGTCCTACGTTTGATAACGTCCGTCTTCCTACATTATTGACATTCTGGGAACATGAGTTAAGCAGTCAGGTCAGTCACTTATGTTTAGCAGTTGTCTAAATACATAATTTACATAAGCAGTTAGGTTAGTTAACTGAACTATCTAAAATAAACGCCAATAATACACAATGTCAGTGGGGCAGTAGACAATGGTAGTCCTTGAAAACTCTACTCACCTGATCATCATCGGTGGTAACATTCCCATCAAGAGAATAAGAGAATCCTACACCGGCTGGAGACTCCAAGTAAAGCACATTACCGAGCTGAAAAATAACAATTTGTGAAGTAAACATTTTGAAATAAGATAGCAAAGGAGACGTTCCTTCATTTCTTCAAACTGGAGAATCACAAAGAATAACTGCATTGGTGCTCTAACTGATGTCGGCTCATAACGAAAAATCCTCAAACCAATCAAATAAAATCCCTACAAAACAATCAACACTTGAAAATAATCAATATGTTAACTAATCCAAACGAAACCGTTGAAAACATATAGAGAATGCATTGGGTAGAAAGTGATTTAACGTCTAAACATTAAAATTACGACAATTAATAAAGGAATAACTTATAAACTTCAGATAAAAATTTATTCGTTTACGTATTCGACAGAATAACATCACACAATAGGAGCGCTAAACGACGCACTACGGAAAAGACAAGTGAATGGAAGAATGAAAATGAGTACCTGCACTTATCACGAATATTCGAAACAGCATCCATTGCTTCATTATTTGACGGCAGTTGCTTGTGTCCCACCTCTATCGTGTCAAGTGGTATAATACGGTGAGTAATAATGACGTTAGATATCGAGTGTTAGTTAAGTAGGAGGAGAAAGTCAATCGATCAGCCCATGGGCCAACATCAATTAAGATGGCTGCGACATGTGTTACCCGTGCTCAGGGGTCATCTTTCGATAAGCAATTTTAACCCGTAAAGGATTAGATTGGGAAACATCTAGGAGACATCAAAGCGGAGCCTAACATGAGTCCATGGAGTCTTTGACTGATGGTTTGAGCCAGTCATAAAGAGAAGTGTAGACTTTATGGCTGAATTCATCAAAATGCCAATAACTGTAGGTGATATGGCCTAAAATCATTCTCAGTGGCGGTGATGCATTCAATCTACGTAATATCTGAGAACCAATAAATCCTCATGTTTTACCATGTTACTATTCTTTCTTCTGTACACTTCTATATTTTATAGTTCTTTTCAATTCTCTCTTCTCTTTCAGCCTTTGTGCGTGACAACTTGAAATGCTGTATGTCTATTGGAGCTTAATGAGCCATCAACATAGATAGGTGTATGTCATGTGATCGTGAATCTTGAACCATCTCTGTAACTAAATCTTTCGGTCCGTAAAATTTGTTGGAGTAAAATGCATTATCATCCAGAGGTATCAAAATGGCACTCTGTGGTAGCTTAATAGTTAGCTTACAACAGTCAGCATTGTTTCTTCTAATTACAATAACTGATTAATTCGTTAGTGCTATCACACAGCTTTTTCTTACTGGTTTAATCGAAACCTACTTGTTTTAAACTATTTATTTGGACTCCATTTGCTCTATTTACTTGTCTACACATGAAAATGGATTTACATATGACCAGCGTAATTTTATTTCAGTTTGAGCCCCCACCAATAAACTATATTCGTAAATTTTCATTTTCAAAGTACTTCCTACCCCCACCCACCCCAGTGTGTAACATATTACGTAAAGTATACACATCTGGGGTTGATTGCTTTTAATAATCCTCAGAATTTTATGTTGAACTACTGTGCAGCAGCAACGAGTATTGTCATCACAATACAAGTTGGAACACCACCACACAGTTATGAAATGGTGCTGTGGGCCATTGGTTTAGACTCCCGACCAAGCCAAGCCCCACCTACCGTGCATGTTTGCGTGAGGAGAGCCCATCTTTTTCGGAATAAGAATGTAGTATTTCTTCGAAATTTAGCTGGCCTAAAGATACAATCGAAAACGCAGTGTTAATATATTCAGAAACCAGTAATACTGTTTAAAGACCATCTTAATTTTATCACACATTTTCTATTAACATAAATGTTTCGCATGAGAAAGTGCATAACTAAGATTACTGATAGTTCCTCATGAATATCACAGATATCCTAGCCAACATCTACAAGAGCAGGAATGCAGTCGTAAGGTCAAGTCAACTCTATCACAAAATGATACATAAGTAACCCAATGATACATAAGTTGTTAAAACTCAGTACCGAATAAATGAATCAAAAAGTCACCAAGAAAATAATATTTAACTTACTTTATTCCAAGAATATGGATTATTATTTAGAAAATTAGGTTCGTTTGTAAGCTGAAATAAAAGCCAAGGGAAGAAATTAATTGTTAATAGGTTGAAATCTCGCCGTTACGACCAATAATACTAATAAAAATTTACCAAAGAAGTCATTTAAGCCATTATACACTTTATTAGATCTAACACAGCATAGTAAGCCAAATGTCAAAAGATTCTGAGGTTGGAGATATCAGACACTACTGACCATTACTATTACTTCAATAATGTAGGCAATTTTTCATTTACAGTTGGAGCTAATGGTGTGCACTTTCTCCAAACAAGAATAACGAGCTATTACTATATAGTTTGACTTAATTAGCATCTATAATTGGAATTCCAACTTTCCCAAGGGATAAGTTTAGTCTCACATGGTGACAGTTATTATTACCTATCGAACGTTCTTCTACTGACAATCTCCAAATAGGGTAGACTGCTTTATGATAGTTGCAGTCAGTAGACAAGTGGACAGAGCGAATGAAACAAGTGAAGAAATTAATAATTACAACAACAATAGATTGATATTAAAGGATAATACACTGTCGCCAATCTTCATTGTACAGCTCCCTTTCAATAACAATGAATAATCAGTAGAGTAGCCGGGTTAGTTTAAATATAATGATAATTCTGTGTAGGAAAAAAATAAACTAAAGTTGACGACGAGTTGGTCGGCCGTTTATTGAGTTAACTGAGACACATAGCCAAAACATCATATGAACTCTGCTCAGGCCATACGTGTTCATTACGTATGTAGCACAGCTATGATCAACAGCATTCCGTGTTCACTAATTATCCCAATATGACTTTTAATAATAATAATAATTTACTTTATTCCCAAACAGTACTTGTGATACAGAATGGAATTTTACTATGCATTATACTACAGTATTGCATCTAGCTGGTACACTGGCAATAAATAAAAATTCTACATAGGGTAATCTCCGTCTGTTTTGACAAACAACATACTGGCACGTCGGTAGCAAAGCCAAAATTGAACCGTGTTTGGTGTTAGAAAAGTAGATGCTTGCATATTTACTGGCGTAAGCAGTAAGAAAAAGGTCGAGATATACAGAGTATGAAAGAACGAAGAAGAATGTTTTAAGTAGAGTTTGTAACGAAGAGAGGAACAAAACACCACATAAACAGAGAGACAGAGAAAGGGAAACGAAAGAAAGAAAACGTTGTGCCTATGAATGATATGAGTTGGAAAGACGAGATCCAGTTGTTCTACTGACTATTTAATAAGTTATAAGTTTCACGCCTAATGCTTTATTTATCGCACAGAACACGAGCTAAGTAGGGTATGGTTGAGTTTTTGTACTTGCTAGTGCGAGCATATAGTTTTCTACATAGGCTTCTGGTCTGGTCTGATGAGATACAGGGGGAGATTTGTAAATGAAGAGGGTGGTGTGAATTAGATAGAATGGGATGAGCCCATTTTTCACATGCGTCCATGTGCCTGTCAACCAGAATATTAACAAGCTGGTTAAATGGCACGTTGCCTACCCTGCTAACAACCTTTAACATCCTGCGTAATAAGGTATAGTCTTTCTTCAGTAGCTGTGGAAAAACTAAGGGGAACAATAGAGGCAGGATGCAAGAGTTAACGAATTATAGGAGTAAGGGTTGAGTTATTCCACAATGTCTTAACTTCTTGATGTAGAAGGTAAGATGGAAAGATCAGCAGGTAGAATGACGCCTAGGTATTTAATTTCTAACTTACTAGATATGGACCGTTTTCAGAAAGTAGGCCTTCCAATGATGAACACCCAGGGCCACCGTTCAACCATAATATCAAAGGTGCAGACTCTGGTTTCGTCTCAGCTTCAACAAGCCAATAGTGAATTTGGATTTTGTCAGTAACACCATTAAGGTATCCTGAATATTGTGTGAAATTTTGTGGTAGATCAAGTCCTGGCAAATATAAGATCTTGTCCGCATCTCCTGGTTTTCCTCCTTTGACAACAGATATCCAACAACTACTGAAGGTAAGAAGGCACGCTAAAACGATAGGAGTCATTGCACAGAAATTGACAGCACAATCAAATTGAGCGCAACTTTGCAGCTAGTCCTGTTTCCAATATCCAATATCCTGATTACGAGCTAGTATAAACCAGTGATTTCTTTGTGCTCGCTTCTTGATTGTGAGGTAGAGATTCCAGATCTTCGGTGAGCTTCTGCGTAGTAAGTCCCGCCGCTCGACTGCTTTAGCTCTGGTAGACTCCAAGAGGAGTGGTGCGGGAATTGGTCAAGATGTGGTTTGTAGTATGCAGTATGTTAGGACTGTATTGCTGCCGTGAATGGAGTTTGACCTAACTCCCGTTGGTCATTCGGCGTAGTCATAAAAGCAGAATAGTAATAATAATAATAGGTTGTAGTGTAGGTAATATAGGTTGAGATTTATGTTTATATGAAAATTATTATAATTATAATTATAAGTGGAATAATAAAGGTGACCTAAGGAAAAGATTGAGTGAGAGAAGGCAGAATAGGTCGTGGGGATTTAGTTTGTACGCTTATCCATTGACAGTGTGGTTTCAAGTTTTATGAGGATAAGCCATTGAGACACAAACCTTGCATTTCTGCATGATTGTCTAGCTTCCGCTTAAAAATCTCCAGAGATGGCGCTGTAGTCACGGCCGCCGGTAAAGAGTTCCAGAGACGGCAAACACGAAGCGAAAAGAAATGTGATCGCACTCGAGTCTTTGGTCTCTGGTGTACTATCCTTAGCGGGTTACCTCGTGGAAGCCTATAATCACTTAATGGCAGGATGCTTTAATTTGGGTGGGCCTGGTCATTTAAGATCTGGTAGACGATGATGAGGTCTCCCCTGTGCCTACGGTAACTAAGTGTGAAAAGACCTAATTTCTTTAGTCGTTCCTCATATGATTTGTTGCGGAGGCTGATCACCCATTTTGTCGTTCGTCTCTGGATACTTTCTGGAATGTTAGCATCCCTTTTGAGTACCGGAGGTGCAATGATATTACGCACCTCGAAGTGTGGCCCCACATATGCCTCATTTAACCTTAAGAACAGTTCGGGAGTGAGAGCTCCCAGCTGCCTATGCATAAAGTGTAAAGTTGCGTAGGCTTTGGAGACGTCCCTCGCGTAATTTCCACTGGTGTCTAGCTTTTCTGTTAGAATAAGACCTAGATCGCGTTCTGATGGAACACAACTCAAGTTCTGGCCACCAAGGGTGTAATTTACACTCTGTGACCTGCCGGAATGAAGTAGCACTACTTTGCACTTCTTTAGGTTGAAAGGCATTCCGTTAGCCAGAGCCCAGTTTACCAAAGTTTGCAGGTCAGCCTGCAATCTGTCTGAGTCTTCCGATGAGTTTATTGCTCTCCAAATCTTTACGTCGTCAGCGTAAAGAAGCGCAGAGCAGTTTAGTTGGGAGGGCAGGTCGTTGATAAAAAATCCAATATCGTTTTGACGAGCTAGTATAAACCAGTGATTTATTTGTGCTCGCTTCTTGAATGTGAGGTATAGGTTCCTGATCTTCGGTAAACTTCTGCGTAACTCGTCCCGCCACTCGACTGTCGTAGCTTTGGTTGGCTCCAAAGGGAGTAGTACTCGGATTAATTAAATGTGGTTTGTAGTATGAGGTGTGTTAAGACTGTTACTACTGTGAATGGTGTTGATCCTTTCGCCAGTTAGTCCTATGGTATCGTTGACGTGAGAAAAGAGATAATAATAATAGATATAATCAGTGAAGATATTCAGACTAGCAGACAGAAAAAGAAATATGAAAACGTAACAAGAGTCAGCTGAATAAATTTGAAGAATAATATGAATAATATATATACCGGTAATGATGATATTAATAATAAGTGTAGTTAAAGTTGTCGAGAGAGTAAGACAGGAGGGAATGTAAAGAAGTAAAACGACGAGTTTAATTGTCTACCCCTGAATAGTGTATTCGATTTTAGGGAGATAGGCCATTTGGATGCAGTCCTTGTGTCGCTGCATGGTTTTCCAGCCTTCGCCTAAAGGCGTCCAAAGACGGTGCCATAGCTACATCTGCCGGTAAGGAATTCCAGGGACGGCGAACACGCAGTGAAAAGAAGTGGGAGCGCACCCGGCTCCTTGCCCTCTGGTGAGCTATCCTTCTGGTGTTTCCACGAGGGAGCCTATACCTACTCAATGGCAGAACACCTTTGTTTGGGTGACTCTGGTCATTTGTTATTTCATAGGCAGCAATCAAGTCCCTCCTAAGACGTTGGTAGCTAAGTGTGAACAGGCCTAATTTCTTCAACCTTTCATTATATGGTTTGTTTCGGAGACCAACCACTCCTTTTGTTGCCCATCTTGGGACTCTTTCCAAAAGGCTGGCGTCTCTTCTGAGAATTGGGGAAGCAATAATATTATGCACCTCAAGGTGTAGTCTGACGTATGATTTCTACAACCTTAGAAAGAGCTCAGGAGTGAGTGCACCTAACTGTCTATGCGTAAAGTGTATGACCGCATATGCCCTCGCTAAATCACCCGTGTAATTTACGCCTGTGTTTCCTTTTTTTCCGTTAGAACTAGACCTAAGTCGCGTTCCGATGTTGCGCAAGAAAAGCTTTCATAGCGCAGGGTGTAACTTGCATCCTGCAGTCTACAGGTGCGTAACTTCACTACTTTGTAATTTTTCAGGTGGAAAATCATGCCACTACTCACCGCGCAGTCTTTCAGAATATTTAGATCGGCATGCTGCCTATCTGCGCCCTCCGGACACCTTATCGCCAGTAGATTAGTGGTGGTCACTAAGGTGAATCGCCCCATTCTGCAAGAACAGCAATACGCAATTTGACAGCTCGGGATTTTCGGAGTTTTATGAGGGCTTAGATCTTTATCTTGAAAAAGATAATAATGAACGCCTAGACAGATCATGCTTCTACCTTTAAATATATTCCATTCGCCCAGCCTATTGTTGAGATGCGACCACGCGGGATCTGCACAGATTTATGGGGCATCTTATAAATTAACTTGCTGTCCATTGTCAGATCTTTCAATTCCACTTCACAATGTCTTATCTCACTCATTTTCTAATAACGTCTTTACTTGCTCCTCATTATACTCCGTTAAACCTAACATTTTATAGCTCTTTATGAATTTGATTCGACTTATTCTATTCCTATTCTCTGTAGGGTACGGTTGTGCACTAAATAGACAAGAAGGTATGAAATAAAAACAACTGGCTTGAAAATAATTGTATTAAAGCCGAAAGTGGACATCATGATAGTACGAACTATATGGGTAGCATTATACATTGCAAATGAACGTTGTCAGCCTAGAGAGTTTCTTTATTAATGCATTTATTAATTATACTTGCACTTACCCATTTCATTACACTTTATTGATTCACCTTAGCAGTTTTACTTTTCTAAAACAGCTTCCAATCACTGGTAAACGTTGTACTTACCTCAATATTGGTTGGTTATCGTATGCCTACAACCACGGGATGAAAACGAAACGAAGTCGATTTTCCCGCGAAACCTGGAGGACAACTGTACAATTCAATAACTATACGGCCTGGTTCAGACAATGAGTGTAATTATATATATATCAAATATTTAACTGTTGAAACATTATAAATCACTGATAAAAATAAAAAACATCGGTGGTCCCAGGATGGAACCCCGCAGCACTTCTGATGATGAGCTGTGTCAAGATGATCGGAATCGATTGACCTTAGTGAAAAATTGCCTTTAAGCTAGGTAGTCCCTTAACCATGACAGAATTGGTTTACCTATACCTGCCTGGCTTATTTTATGTAGGAGAAGGTCATGGTGAACAGTGTCAAATACCTTCTCAAAGTCTAGGAAGACCACATGGACTGGAACTTTCATATCCCAGCATGATGTCCAATCGTCCCAAGCTGACAGTAAGTTAATAAGGCAGGATCTGCCTTTTCGGAAACCATGTTGGACTTCATGGAGTATATTAGACCTATCGAAATATTCCCTGATGTGATCGTCAATAATACTTTCCAGTACTTTTGAAACCACTGGGAGTAGGACTACTGGCCTATAACTAGTGGCATTTTATCCGTCCCCCCCTTGAAGATTAGAGAAAGGATGGCTCTTTTCCACTGCTTTGGCAGTGTCCATGAGTCCATTGAGTGTTAAAACAAGTCGCACAGGGGTTTACAGAGAGCTTCGGCACACACTTTCAGAAGAGATGGCCTGATGTCGTCACAACCTGGGGACTTACCAGGTGTGAGTCTCTGCACCTTCCTTATAATAATAATTTTTATTTTCATATAAACATAAATGTATATGAAAATGCATGCCATTTTTACAGTCACGATCAAGTATGGTATAATGTCAAATCTTAAATTGTCTACAAGTTAATAGTGTTCCAACAGTTAAATATTTGATATATATATAATTACACTCATTGTCTGAACCAGGCCGTATAGTTATTGAATTGTACAGTTGTCCTCCAGGTTTCGCGGGAAAATCGACTTCGTTTCGTTTTCATCCCGTGGTTGTAGGCATACGATAACCAACCAATATTGAGGTAAGTACAACGTTTACCAGGGATTAGAAGCTGTTTTAGAAACGTTAAAGTGCTAATGTGAGTTATTAAAGTGTAATAAATTAAGCAAGTGTAATATATCATTAATAAGTGCATTTATAAAGGTAATAGAATGGGAAACTAATTAATCCCTAGGTTGGCGACGTTCATTTGCAATGTATAATGCCACCCATATATGTCTTACTATCATGGTGTCCACTTTCGGCTTTAATACAATTATTTTCAAGCCAGTTGTTTTTATTTCATACCTTCTTGTCTATTTAGTGCACAACCGTACCCTACAGAGAATAGGAATAGAATAAGTCGAATCAAATTCATAAAGAGCTATAAAATGTTAGGTTTAACGGAGTATAATGAGGAGCAAGTAAAGACGTTATTAGAAAATGAGTGAGATAAGACATTGTGAAGTGGAATTGAAAGATCTGACAATGGACAGCAAGTTAATTTATAAGATGCCCCATAAATCTGTGCAGATCCCGCGTGGTCGCATCTCAACAATAGGCTGGGCGAATGGAATATATTTAAAGGTAGAAGCATGATCTGTCTAGGCGTTCATTATTATCTT